ATTCCAGTGCAGTAAATATTTCTGTGAAACCAATAAATCACAAGACACTTTTACAAGCAAAATGCATTTTCCATAGTCCTATGAAGAAAATCATGGACGTGAGGTGAACACACATTGCTCAAGTATCCTTAGCAGACAATGAAAGCACCACCTTAACAGCTTCCTATTTTAAAACAAAAAACAACCAATCAATGTTCCTCAACATCATTATCCAATTACATCATCTTCACTTATTTAATGTCCAAAGGTGACCAAGTTGCCATTAAAATAATCAAAATTCTTCTCTTTGCTTGATTCAAAAGCTACAAACTTTTCTCATTTTTAAACCTGCCCATCAAATTTTCCACACACGGTTTCTAACCTTTCAACACTCCATTTTACCACCACAATCTTTTCTCTTTCATTCTACACAAGAGACAAATCAATGCTACATCGAATCTTTCGAGTATTTTTTTCACTCTTTGATGCCACTTCTCTATTATACTTATTTATTAACTCTAATGACAGAAAAATCAGAAAAATTATTTACTACTAACCTGTTCCTTTAACTGTTGCATGTTAATTACTTTCTATATGCTTTTATGATAAAACAGTTCATAGATTAAGCTGAAAACCGGTTCAAGAAGCTTTCGAGTGTTGGTTGAAATGGAAGGGAGAGGATTTTCTGGTTTATACAAGAATTCAAGTGAAGAGTTGTTCTTGAAGACAGTGATGGAGAGTCCTATTGGTATGCCAGTACCTACCATGGAGATGTTAGGATTCAAGACAGTTTCTCAAAGCTTTCGCGCCGATAGCGAGGAGCTTTTCAAACGCTGGCTAACAAATGAAGAGGTAGGTTAAGGTTTCTACATGACATATGATCAGAGATTTCTTTTAACATTTCTGAGTACAACTTATGTATCTTTGTTTTCGAAATTAGGGATACAATTCAACGAGCATGGGACTTAACAGTCGATTATCGAAGAGGTGAGTATATGTTGATGAAATATGAACTTTTTTTAACAGAAAACTTTTAGTAGTTTACTGAAATATTACATATTCTAAAGTATTGATCGGCGATTTTTTCGTGACGATTTTATGTTTTTCTGATGCATAAGTCCTGATTTGTGACCCTATTGTAATATCTAACTGCAGAATCTCCACTGAACTAGTTAATGTGTCTAATCAACAACATGTTGGTGTGGCTTCAGATGGAAGAAACAATGATAAATCATGCTTACAAAATAGCTTTCTGACAAATGATGTTTCGGGCGATTTCAATTTTCCAATCAGGTAATTTAGAGACCTAATTTTATTTCATGTGATTTAACGTTTCGACTAGAGACTATTGCTTTTTCCATTTAATTGAAAAAGTTGTTCAATGTTGTAATTTAGTTTTTCTGTCGATTTTCGTCAGAGAACCTGTTGATAGAGAATTGCAATCTGGTAACTTGTTTCTGGCCAAGGTATGTTAATATCAAACTCTTGTAGTTGAAGCCTTGGTTCAATAAATCTTCATACTCATTAGATGTTTTTCATTATCAATGCAGGCATGGTTTCTTACTGATCAACGAATGACAAGAAGCCGATCTTCTGAATTGCGGTATCCTTTTCGCACCTTGTATATGTTTTAGTTTATTCGATTAAGTTTTTTATCGAAACATGGCTTAATTTGTTAGGCTTTTTTTGCAGGCGAAGGTATACTGAAATGCAAAATACTCAAGCACCACAAGGATTGGATTCAATGTTCATGGTTCCTAAGCATGATGCTAACATCATAAAAGAAGAACTTGCACATTTCAATGGTTTTGATTACCTTTCTATGTGCGAAATACCGAGTCAAAAGGGCTCATTCATGTCTCCATCGAACTCATCTTCATCTACCTTCAACACACAACAATTGGTTGATGTAGATAAAGTTTCATCTTGTGTAAGTATGCTAAAAGGTACGTTACAGCGCAAGAGACTCGAATGCCAAGTCGAGAAAGATGCTGCAGAAGACGGCCTAAACGAAATTTTTGGCATTCGAGAGCCTCTTTTCCATTCTGGTTTTAATGAAGGACAAGAAAATTGGAATCATCAAAAGCTAGTAAATGTTCAAGGAGATTTTACCGATCAAGTTAAGGATACCGGAGTCATTGAAACACTTGAAGGAGCTGCAAACTTTGTCTTAGAGGGTTTTACAAATCAAACGAACCAAATAAACGGCGGAACAGCTTCTGGAGAACCTTCTCAAAGTGAATCCTCTGCTGCTGCACCAGTAATCTCATCTGGTTTAGATGCTTGTGAAGGTCCTAGCAACTCTAGTCAAACTCTTTGTGATAGCTCATGGAAACAAGTGGGAGAAAGCACTCAAAATCGAGCCAAAGGTATAAAACTAATTTGTGATTATTGAATTGTATTCGTTTACCAAAACCATTTTCACCGAATATTTTGAATCTTGCATCGCGTTCATTAAAGTATAACTAACATTTTTTTGGAAATGCAGGTGTCAGAGAACAAATTATGGATAATCTGAAAGATGACAGAAAGGTATACTTAATAACCTACTCTTATAACAACATGTATTGTTTAGAACTATCGATATACCTAGAAATTTCGACTATTTTTTAAAATTTTCGAGATTAATCTTGCTGATTTGTGCAGAGGAAAAGACTAGAGAGATATGGATCTGTAACATCAGCTGTTTCAGGTAGCCATTTATTCATTGAACATTTTTCGGTTCACAAATCTTAACTAGACGATCTTTGTTCCTCTCTAACCAAATAATTGTGCAGATGACAAGGTGGACACCACAAAAAAGCGAAGGGTAGAGCGCTCGAGAAAGTACGTAAAATTATCATTAGAAACAGATTAAGAGAGACTCTTCTTATTTAATATTGTATTATTATTGCATGCATGTTTCTAATTTATTAGCCTTGTAATGCAGAATGGCTGAAGCAAAGGAAAGAAACTTGACACCAACAATTCCCTCGGATATGCAAGCTGTCATGAAGCGATGCGAAAACCTTGAGAAGGAAGTTCGATCGCTAAAGCTTAATTTGTCCTTCATGAATAGGTAATCGAAATACGTTCCTGCAAAGATGAACAGTAATGCGGTTTTACCTGTTAATAAACTTTTGAATGCGAAATAAACATACAATATGATTTTTCAGGAAGGATTCTGAACAAACAAAGCAGATAGAGGATCTTCAGAAGCAGAATGAAGAGTTGGCAGATGAAAAAGAGCGCCTACTCGAAGAGATCGAAAGACTTTTATCAGAAACTGGAAAGATTTAATGTTTTGTTGTTTTCATATTATGTCCTTAGCCTCTTCAGAAACAATGCAGTTCTCAGACAAGATTAAACTCTTACCACAGTTAACTTGTGGATGAAAAAGCTTAGGTAAAAGTAAAACATTGATCAATTAGCAAAACATAAATGCATGGAATCTGAGTGATTAGTGTGACATTGTATATCTGGTAAAATATGGCTGTTATTCAAAATTTGACGAGTATGAACAATGGATTGGAGCCAAATAAATGAATATGATGAACTTAAACATGGTCCAGTGTATTTACCAACTTCAATATCTTATTGGAAAAATTGTCCTAATGCTAGTAGAATATTAGACTAATTCTTAAGCATATCATCAGGGGTACTGCATGGAAATGAATCCTTAGATGAATATGTTGTATGCTGATGACATTTTAATTTCATGCAACTAGTATAAATTTGTTATATAAAATTGTGCAAATTATAAGGAGAATAAACCTATGAATGAATCATACATTGAATGGAGACTAAAAAAAGAGACTTAACTTATTATGAATTGATTTGATTTTATGTCGGAAAGGTCAATCATGAAAGTGATCTATCTACTACGACGTGTGATGGAGTAATATCAGTTGGATTAACAAGACTTGCACTTAATTTTCATTGACTCGGAAAAAGCGTAGATTGCCTAGAGAGATCTTTTGAAAAACTTAAAGAAAAAAATTAGAATTGACTATTTTCGAACTGTCTGAAATATGTATAAATAGAGTTTTGACTAGTGTGCGGGTACATATCGGAGAGACAGACAATTTTTTTATTATAATATGATTGCACCAAGGTTCAACCTTAAGCCCCTACCTTTTTAGTTTGATGTACTCACTGAACACATTCAAAACCTAGTACCGAGATGTATGTTTTTTTAGATGATATAGTCCTATTTGGTGAGTCAAAAGAGAATTTAAATGAGATGAGCTTTAAAAACGCATAAGTTTAGCAATGAAAAAACATTTATAACTTAGAGGTGAAAATTTGGAGACGATATCTTTCCACAACTTAAGTGATTTAAATATATTAGATTCGTAATACAATTGAATTGATAGAAATATAGTCTTAGATAAAGCATTATAGAATAATCTGATCTATAATTTGATTTATGTAACCGACCTCACATTTATAGCATAATTTGATCTATATAATCATCCTCACTTAATGGATAAACTTTAGATGTTGTCTTATTTGTTCATTCAAATGATCTTCTACTATTTTCTGTTTCCATTACAGTTAATGCTTCACAGTTACTAAAACATCTTAGAAACTGAATTGTTTAATAAAAAGGGAATTTTGTTACGCAGAAGTTGCTAAGTGCTCAAGTAAACATGAGCTTAATTAGACTCTGATGGAGCACGCATTTCCACAAAAATAATTCCATCAATCCAAATGCCACCACAATAGTTTTTACAACATTTTCAACTGAAGTATGTTTGTGAATCACTGTCATTTGTAACAGGAACATAAGAGGGTAAATTTGATACAAGACAACTCTGTAGACTTAGTGAACATACTATTGTAACTAAGAACTTTATTTATTTTTTCAGAAGTAAGAACAAGAACTGAGTCTGTTTAATTAAACTATTACATTTGTAATTACCGCTCGAACTATACACGATTTCTTTTTTGGTGCAGATGCGACAAGAATGTCATCCGCTTCAATTATAATATTACAAGGGATTCAACCAAGAGGACATAGCACTTCACCAAAATAAGCGCTAGAATCTTGGGAATCTGAAAATATCTGTGAGACCAAGCCTCTTCCCATATTCAATAGCTAACCAAGCCACAAAAGATAAGTATGCAATAAGAAAACACACGCGCCTGATGAGAACAGCATTGACACGCCAAGAAAGTATCCATGCTGCAAACGGTCGATGTACTGAAGATAGAAGTTGTTTGAGGAACATAATAAAGGTTATGGAGATCAAAGCTGTTGAGAATCCAGATATGGCGCCAGCTACTATTTCCCACCTCCAAAATTGGGCCCTCCTTCTCTTATCGGAAAACCAATAATTTATCGTCTCCATGGCCCTGATATAAGATACATGCATAATTTAAATAATAGGATGATAAAAATATTTAAGTATTCCCAAAATAAACATACATAGATTTATATGCACATTGACAGAATGTTAAGTCTAAATGATGTTCTACTTACAAGCATTAAATTATGAATTCTCACACTACAATCCATTTTTAGTTAAGTTATCTAAACGATGGTATCACAACAAATAAGCAATCAAATATTCAGTAGGTTTGAAAGATAGTGTAAAGTAGTACTTACTGGGTAGAATATTGTACAATCTTCTCAATAGTAGACTGCTCGTCGGCACGGCAACCAAAGAGATTGTCTTGATATAAATGCACTTTTGAAATGCCAGATGTGTACCAGCAATCATAAGTCTCGTTTACCTAATATAACAAAAGAGAAAGAGAAAATAAAATGACAACAATTAAAGGAGGAATAGAAAATAAGAATGACATAACAATGCCAAAAACGACTGGCGAACTGGTAAGTAGTAAGAGTTGTTAACTCTTACGATATCTGACATCACTGCGATGTTTGTACATAATAAATGAGGTTCTGCATGATAACATTGTTGAAGTTATGGGGTTTTAGAAAAAGAGCAAAGATAATTTTAAAGACTTCGAAATCTGAAATGTTTGATATGATTGATGATTATGATTTGATATAAAAAAGACCAAACACAAACCCTTAAGTATAATAATGAAATGCAAGACACCAAATCCTAATCATATAGGAAAATAAATTATGATAATAAATTAATAACTAAGAAATATGAAAACTAATCGCAAGTGATAACCTAGGTCCTAAGGTGCTCTAAGCTAAGAAACTAAGACAATCTCAAGATATTATAAGAAATTTTTAAATCTTCACACTCTCTCCTTAAGCTAAAGTTTACCAAGTTTGAAGCTTGTTTCAAATGTACAAGTCAGAAAAAAAGAAAAGGAAAAAATATATAACTTGATATTGAAAATCAGTAGAGCCGTATGTAGAGCCAGATCACGTTTGGAACAATAGTTGGGACGAAATTACAACTAAAATAAAAATCTAGGGATAGACCCTAATTAGGACAAAAAACAGCGTCAAACCACAGTTGAGACAAAATCAGTACCGAACTATAACTGAGACAAAATAGCAACAATGACAAAACAACCGCCAAACAGCAACTGTTACAAAATTAGTTCTGAACCGTATACGAGGCAACAGTGCCAAACTGCAACTATGACAAAATCAATGTTTTCAAATAAACACATTCAATAGTAGTAGATTGAATACAATAAACATGGATAGATCTGGGTAGATCGCATGGAAGTGTCACCTAAAAGAAAAAAACAGTGGTGAAACAAAAGTCAAATGAGAGATCCACAAGATGAATCTGGTCCCAATAGAACCATAAACCTACAGAACAGAGCTTGACCAGCAGCATTGCGAATGTGCTGTGTGCACTGAGAAGAACACAAACTTGAGGTAGGAAAGCGATGGTCATAAAAGGATTTTACATACAAATATAGTAGAGTCTCAATTATAATAAAAGTAAAACTCGGCAACGGAATAGTGATAGAAAACATCATTGAGGATGGTAACACTTTAATACCATGTTGAAATTGGTTTTAGATAAAGAAGAAAGCGAATGACTTGGAATATAAGTATGGTTTGATATGCTTGATGAATATGATTTGATACAGAAAAGACTAAGCATTAACCCTTAACTATATAATATACAAGGCTTCAAATCCTAATCAAATAGGGAAACAAATCATTACAATAACTAAGAAATAAAAAACCTAACCTTAACAGATAATCTAGATAAGAACCTAAACTTGTGGAAAATCTAAGATACGCAAAGATGATATTAAGTTATAAAAGACTGTCATAGCTACTTATAACCATAGTATCAAAGACCACAAATTGAAAGCCCCACCTTAAATTTGTACTGCGTCAGCCATGCAGCACCAAAGTTAGGCCTGCAATAAAGAGGAAGGGCTTCACTCGGAGCCTCAGCAAACGCAACTTGTTTCTGACCTGAAAAGTGATCTTGGTATTCCACCTAAAACAATGTTAACATAAACTATTTACAACAACACAACAGAATTACCTAGATTTATGGTTATCATAACCAATAAAGGATAGACTATATATAAGCTAATTGCTTAAATGGGCACAATTAATTGGTTGTGATATACATGAGCATACTTTATGTACAGATTGATGTGTTACTTGGACGATACAAGAAAACTGTGTATGATTTAACTAAAGGGAGCAAGCATCCAAAGCAAGAAAGATCACGTTGGATGTTATTCAGTGATAATAACTAACACCTAAACAGTCAAGTTTTTTTGTTTGGACAGAGGTGTGTAAAAGGATTAATACTATCGCTATGCTACATGATCATAGACACGGATAGAGGGTATAAAACTCCTTTCACGGATTACTGTTTATGTTTCCTGACATTATAGCTCAGAAATAGCATTCTACTTCTCTCAAATTGTTCTGCAACCACTTTTGTTTGGAATAAACTATCAATAAAATGTTGCGAGATGATCTGACTGTCATTATTTTAAGACAATCTCCTTCAGAATGAACTTTTTGTTGATATTATTTTCCTTTTAACAGTCATTGTTAAGAAGAAATCTGATCTTCCCTCTTACTTGTGCTATGTTTTTCCTCTAGCAAATAATATATATTTTTCTTTTATATAAGAATAAGCAATACCTAAATTGGCAACAAGTTATAATAACCTTGAATACTGAAGCCCAATAGTAATCATAACGGCAGCGAAATTTGCTTCTTTCAAAATGACGAAAAACATCTTTTGCTTTATAATCTAACAATCCGAGTTCACAAATCTTAGATGATCTAATATCAACACCTGTAAGAAAAATAATAACAGCCAATTTAGATTGAATTGCAAAAAAAAAAACACCAATTCTTCTCAAAATGAGTATTAATAATCAAATGAATATAAACATATAAACTTCTTAACTTTCCTGGTTGATTCATTCATGAACTATTGAGGTTACTTACTTAACTGAATCTAAAGAGCTTAAACCAAACTTCTAAGAGCTATTTTCAACTAAAAGTAGGTTAATTTCAATTTCAAATTCAAGTGATTAACTAATTTCAACAAGAATGAAACTAAGCTTGAAAGCTGATAGAAACACACAAGATGGAAGAAGAATAAAAGACTAACCGGTGGAGACGATTTTGCAGTGTGATGGGAGAGATATGGGGTTAGGAACAGAGAAATCGGCGAGGATGAGAAGCAGTAAACCCAAAAGAAAGGGAACAGAGAACAAGAAAACGAAGGGTAATAGAATTGCGATAAGCCATCGCAGTAATACGAAAGCGATGATGCTGCGGTTCTTCTTAGGGGGATTTGGTTGCTCGGATTGGGAGTGAGAATCCATGAAGGGAGTGTCGGTTAGGGTTTAGGAGTAGCCGGAATATGAGTGGTGTTGACGCCGGTCACCGGAATCCGGTGATCGGAGTGATGTTGAAAATGGGGAATAAAGAGTAGAGAGATATTTTTGTGTGCTGTCATAGGAGAAGGATAGTGATTCCCTGCACTCAGAAAGAAGGCAGTTCGCAATATCACCATTTTTCAAACGTTGGATCTAGATCCGACTAACTCTATTTTAAATTTTTTTTTTTATTTTAAAAATTGAATTTGGTTCGCCATAACAAAACAGATTACCCGGCATAGTATAGATAAAAATAGACCGGAGTAAGTTATGCTTTGCCAAACATATTTCGTTGTGAAATTTAAATTGTTGGTATAGACTCTTGATATGGTGATACGAATAAAAGGGTATTTATGTAGTGGATGAAATTGTATTTTTCTTGCGTTTGGTTTGAGGTTGACCCATAATAGTTGCCTCCAAGGTTTTTTTATGGCGTGGTGCATGAGAAGTCTTCCACAAAGTTGGGTCAGGTACATTTAATTGTGATCCCGTGTTGAGAAGTGGAAAATGTCTGAAGACAACTTTATTAAATGTCAATCCCATCTCTTAGTAGGGTCTTCACATTGTCAGTTTTTCCTATTTTAAATAGTTTTTTCTCTTCATCTTCTTGGTTAGGTATCTTTCTTTAGCCTTTTCTCTTTCATGTATTGTTTTACTTCTTTTAGTGTTTACCATAGTTAACTTAGGATATGTGTTTGAGAATATAAATAAACGTAATGTGAGGGATTCTCCGGTATCAGCAATTTATAAGAATTTTGACATGCTACGTGATGAACCTTTAGAAATCAATGACCCTATATTTTGGGTCTAGAAGAGGTTCCGTTGAAAGTAAAGATGGTCCTCTTAGTTCTTCTAAAGGGGATAGAGAGGGTAGCTCTTGTAATCTGGTTTATATGGAAGTGGTTGTCTGCCTTGCCTCCTCCCTTCAATCCTACAACGAGTTATACACGACTATAACGACCCGAGATGAGCGAATAATCTTCTTTAGGAATAACTATACAATTGTTTATTGGCGTTATGTTTTACATGACAGCTGAGAATAAATGGTAAGAGGGCGTACAAATTTGGAATCATCGCCAAATGTCGTGCTCTACCATTGGGTAGATTCTGAGTTGGTGTGCACAATTTCTATTTTTGATAGTGCATATGTGGAGGAGGCTCAGATAGGAATGGGTCTTTCTTTTGATTGGTTTGTGTCCCACATTGATGTCGGCTAGAGGATTTGAAGCTCTTTTGATAGGTGTTTCATCCCTTTTTATTGTCTCTTCAACCGACTAAAAGTTATATTACCCTTCAGTGGATTTGAAAAGGGGTTACTGAATCACCTGGATGTTGCTCCTTCTCATATCCACCTGTCCATTTGGAAATTTTCTATGGTGTTTTAATATTGGATTTGAAAAGCTCTTATGATGCATTGAGTTTGACTGATTGTTCATTGTTCACTCTAAGCTTTCCTCTAAATAGTGTATTGTTCTTGGTTGAAGCTTTTAAGTAAAATCGAGTATTGTTTTGGAAGTGTGGTCTTCTGTTTTTGTTATTTTGTATATATTCATTGGGATTATGATTATTTGCTATCACTGAGGTGATTAAGGAGTGAAAGGGGTTCTCATATCTAGGAGTTCCAAGGTAGAAGTTGCACTGGATAGGGATTAAGTAAGGAGTTGTAAATTGTAATTGTTTAGCTTCGAATTAATACTATTGATAGAGGATTTCCTTCCTGACTTGGTAGCCTTCAGATGTAGGTGAGTTGCACTGAACTGGGTTAATAACTTTGGTGTTATTTATTTTCTGCAATTTACAGTTTTTTGTTGTGTTTGTTCAAGTTGCATTTTGATCCCAGTGTTATGACATCTGTCTCAACATTTGGTATCTGCGTGCCAGAATTTCAATTGGCATCAGAGCAGGTCACCCTGTTCTATTTTTGGGTGAGCTTTAGGGAGTTTGTATTCTGGTACTATGGACAAGGAAGGAGGAGGAAATGTTAATAGGCCTCAGGTCTTAGATGTCACTAGTTATGACTATTGGAAGGCACGTATGGTGGCTTTCTTAAAATCAATGGACAGCAAAACTTGGAAGGCTATCATCAAGGGTTGGGAGCACCCTATGGTTAAGGACATGGATGGTAAAGAATTCTTGAAACTTGAAGAAAATTGGACCAAGGAGGAAGATGAAACTGCTCTTGGAAATTTCAAAGCCTTGAATGCCTTATTCAATGGAGTGGACGAGAACATGTTTAGGTTGATCAACACCTGCAACGTAGCTAAGGATGCTTAGGAAAATCTCAAGATAACCCATAAAGGCACGTTTATGGTTAATATGTCCAGACTTCAGCTACTGACAACCAAATTTAAGAATTTGAATATGTTGGAGGATGACAGTATTCATGACTTTCACATGAATATTTTTGACATACCCAATGCATTTAGTGCCTTAGAAGAGAAAATATCAGAGGCAAAATTGGTAAGGAAGATTCTTAGGTCTCTTCCAAAGAGATTTGATATGAAGATAATTGTCATTGAAGAAGCTCAAGATATCAACAACATGAAGGTTGATGAACTTGTTGGTTCTCTTCAAACATTTGAGTTGGCTATTAGTGACAAGTCTGAGAAACGGAATAAGAGCTTAGCTTTTATTACCAACTTTGATAGTAAAGAGGGTCAAGTTGATATGGATACTGATGAAGGACTGTCAAACAATGTTGTGTTACTTGGAAAATAGTCCAACAGAATCCTCAAGAGAATGGACCAAAGAGGAACACCAGGTGTTAAGGACATCACCCCTAACGTCAGAAATAATTATGATTCTCAAAATAATTATAGAACTGGAGAAAGTTCATATCAAAGTAAAGAGATTCAGTGTTATGAAAGTGACGAATTTGGTCACATATTCTCAACTATCTTGAGAAGCAGAAAAAAGGATTGGTTGTTTCTTGGTCGGATGATGAGTCAAAAGACGAATCCAACTTAGAATTCGTTGAACCTTCTACTAGTCTCTCTGGCAGATGGGCTGATAAAATAGAAGCATGTGATGAAAATGATCTCTGTGAAGATGTGGATATGGATTATAAGGAAGCCTGTAACAAGTGTGAGGAATATCAGAAGACAGAGGAAAATCAAAGGAAGGTGATAGCTGAATTGGAGAGTGAGAAGAAGGAACTCTTAGGGGTTGTCTCTCATCTTCAGAGTGAAATAACTCTTATGAATTCCAAGCTCAGTAATGTTACTGAATCCATAAGAAGAATCGAGAATATGGCTGATCAAATAGAAGATGCAGAAGTCAGTTATCTTTCTGATAGTAGACATGGAGGGAAGCCTGAAGAAAAATATTTTTCTAAAAGGGAGAAGAGGACCACAATGGCCAACCACGTGTTACAACATTCGGCCAGACATGATGGACATTCATATAGTTTCCAATCTTGTTAGAGGTGTCATTATTGTAAAGAGTGGTCATATAAAGCCATTTTATTACAAATTATATGGAAACCAAATATCCTCGGTTAATTCCAAGGATAGGCTAGTTAGAAAAAAGAGAAGTATCGAGGATATAAGTGTTAACCTTATAGCTCACACTTCTTTAAGAGTCTCAACTAGAGAAGACTGGTACTTCAATAGTGGATGCTCTAGACATATGACAGGGGTACATAAGTTATTGGTGGATGTTGAGCCTCTACTCACAGGTGCTGTCAGATTTGGTGATGGTGTTAAAAGAGAGATTAAAGGAGTTGGTAAATTGGTGGATGATGGATCACCCAGGTTGGAAGATGTTCTTTTTTGTGAAAGGATTAATTGTTAACCTCGTCAGAATTAGTCAACTATGTGATAAGGTTTGATAGTCATTTTCTCCATGTCAGAATGTCTAGTCAAAAATAATAAAAATGATGTTCTGAAGAAGGGTATAAGGTCTAAATATAATTTCTATCTTTAGGAACCTCGGATGACTGCTTACTCTTCCACATGTGCAAAATCTCAATAGGATGAAGTAAAGTTGTGAAAGCAAAAACTTGGACATCTTCATCCCAAGAGAATTAAGAAGATCACATATGTATGAGTAATTAAAGGAATTCCAGATCTAAAGGCTGAAGAACGGAAAGTTTATGGTGAGTGTGAAGTTAGAAAGCAAATCTTGATATCACTACCAATGTTGCATCGTCCGACTACTTCAAGAATTATGGAACTCCTCCATATGGGGATTATGGAACCTATGGAGACTGAAAGTCTGGATGGAAATAAGTATATTTGTATGGTTATTGATGATTTCTATGGGTTTACAAAGGTAAACTTTCTTAAATAAAAATCAAAGACCTTTGAAGTTCTTAAAGGTGTATATCAAAGTGTTCAGAAGGAGAAGAAGAGTAGGATTGTCAAGATCAGAAGCTATCATGACAAAGAAGTTTGAGAATTCACAATTCACTAAATTTTGTGAGTCTGAGGACATCAATTATAGTCTATCTTCTCAGCTAGATGGAACCTTTGGGCAAAAGGTATTGGATATACAAGAATCAGCTAAATCCATGATCCACGCTAAAGGCTTGCCTTATAATTTTTTGACTGAAGCTACAAATACGACTTGTTATATTCATAATAGGGTCACTTTGAGAGAGGGAACTTCAATCACTCTCTATGAACTATGGAAATGAAGAAAGCCTATATTAAAGTACTTCCCTGTTTTTGGAAGCAAATGTCATGTCGTGACTAACAAAGACAAATAAGGTAAGATGGATTCGGAAAGAGCTGAAGGAATATTTCTAGGTTATTCTTTAAGCAGCAGAGCATTTAGAATATTTAACACCAGAACTGAGATGACCATGGCATCTTCCAATGTGATAGTTGATGATTTAGAATAATAAGGTGGATGTTGAGAACAATGTTGGAACATCCTTTGTGTAGATTGGTGAGGCTGGAAGGGAAGAAAACTGTAATTTCTCTAGCATTATGTCAGATAACTCT